CCACGTTATAGGCTTATAAATAAACTTTTGAACTTTTTATTGTGATACCGGCGGAACATAACAACTTGACAAGGAATATCGGGGATGATGTGTAATTGTGGATTGTTTTACAGAGCGAAATTCTTAGTAATATAGCAAAACCTCAATATAAGAATATTCGATATAAGGATAATCTTGAATATAAGATTATATAATAAGAAATTGACTTAATATTACTCTATTGAGATTAATCAGAGATTCATTGGGTTTAATTGGGAATTTGATATAAGAATATCTTGATATATTCTTATTTTAGACGCTAAAAAAAGTATCCTTATATCGAGGTTTTGCTATAGTAGAATCTTTTGATTTATACTAGTCATACGGTGAAATGAGACTAGTTACACATAAATTTTTTATATCTTCATGTTATATATACTTGTTATGACTGTCATGAAAAGACTAATGAGCAGCATTTTAGCGAAATGTTAGAAGTTTCCTAGTAGCGAGGCGAGGCGATGAAGGGGCTGTGATGCCATTGCCTATGAACGAAAAAGTACTTTTCATCTGTCTAAACTCTAAAGTGATCTGGAAACCATCATATACCGGAAATATATCATATGCTTCGATTCGGCATATATTGGTGATACTTTGGGTACAATACCGACCGGTATATACCGATTTACGGGCTGCTACTGGTCTGAAAATATCATTTACCCCCCATCCCATCCATGATTTGGTGTGGTTGGTGTGGTATCAAACAACCCGGCAGGGAGGATATCGATATCATACCGAAGAGGAAACCGCTCAGTAGATAATGGAAATAAAAATGGAAATAAAAATGAAAATGAAAATCCAAAATTCTTCAGCATGTGAAACCCCTTGCCGAATTCAATATTTCGGCATTGAGTCTATACACTGCCTGTCCCCAAAAATGCTGCTTTCTCGCAATATAAGATAAAATAAGAAAAAGAGATTCGCTCACTTACTAATCTATTTACTTTTATTCTTGCTTGTTCAAAATATCTTAGCATTTGGACTTGGCACTCATCTCCTTCTCGTCTTCCTCCATCCAAACATCCAAACGGTTTCCAAAGCTTCATTGAGGATTCATTGAAGGAAAGGAAAGCTTACAATAGAACCATATCATAGATACTCAGTAAATAAATCTGAAATCCAAACTTTTATACTTCAAAATCCCATTGAATCACAAGAACCTTACTCTATGCAGCAGCAGCTTGGTAGAAAGAAATTCGAGTAGAAATCATATCACAAGGACTATACCAATACATTTATTTCATTTATCCATCTACTGTATCCTCGAAGCATATAGTACCAAACTTTCTTCTCCTCATAAGACCAACTTTATTATTATATTGATTTCTTTTTGTACCGGACCGGTGATAATATCGCTCAAGTACGGAGTATGAGTACCTAATATGGGAATGATCAACTTGACTTGGGGGTCCGAGAGAAAGCGTTTACAATCAAAATCTTTCTTCTTCACAAAGAGTTTCATCCATTAGCTGGCGGCTGTAGGAAGAGAAGAAGTTTATCTAAGAGGTTCGAAAATATCTGAAGATTCTAAACTAATAAAGTGATATACCAACTTTCAAAGGGCCCCCCCTCCAGCACTGAAGATTTAACCATTGTGAAAGTTCTACCCGGGTATGGATATATACCTAGGTATCTTCAGATGAAATCGCAACTCACTACTTCTTTCATGCATCCGATACAAATCCGATACTAATAAACACACTCCTCACCTCGGACTCGGATCTTGTTTTGATTTCCTGAAGGTTCCTGGTTCCTGAAAGCGCTTGGTGCCGTACTTTTGACATACCTAGGTAGTAGCTTCTTCTGGGTAGCTAGAAGCTATTCGCGTTTTAGTATCTAAGGGAAGGAAATGCGTCGCTTGGATTTTTAAGAACTTAATGATAGATTTCATCCACCAGGCATTTCCCACATCACGGAATTTCCAGATAAAGTGAGGTAATATACTGACTGATATATCGATATGTATCGTCTCAAGTCTCGCCTTGCCTTGCCTTGCCTTGCCTTGCCTTAGATGAAGTAATCTCCAGTCTCGACTTGCCTTTAATCAAAGATCTCGTGGAGATAATGATAAGGCTATACATACATCCCATCCCGTCACCGTGAGGTAATTTATATGAACATTAAGCTCGCCCCCAAGAGTTCTCAGATCCATTTTGACACCATTCTGAAGAAATTCTTCCCATCTCCTCAATATCGTGACACATAGCAAATATATGTCCTGTCGGAAGTGGAGAGATTGTGGGCACTCTAGCTCAGTCTACCATGATGATGATAATGGAGAATATCCAAGATCAAAATAATTATCTTATCTGATCAAAAAGATAATCAAAGATCTTTGTCCTGATCCTAGAATACCAAACTATATATTTCTATCCACCTGATCAAGGAAACTTTTCAACTCCACCCATACTCAAGTACTTGTCCTTGTCCTGTAAATGTGTGATTGTCTGTACTCGTGTGATGAATAGTGCAGTGTAGTGTGATTGCACCGCTGTGCCACAGTTTTGTATTGAGACGTTTCATGGTGTTGTACCTTTCCTGGCTTTATACACACTGTATCTTGAAGGAAAGGAGATGCTGAAAATTGTCTGTTATGCCTATACGAATATGCCTGTATGCCTGTATATGCCTCTGATGGAAATGCCAAAGGACTAATTTGACGACCAGATCTAAGCTGATGGATCTGCCAGCCATTCCTGAATTGGTAAGCTTTCACGAGTTTGGCTTAACTTGATATTTGTTCCTGCATATTCTAGCACCAGTAGCTGTGAGATATCCTTGTATCACCCCAAATATGCTTCTACTATACCTAAAGCTTTCAACTCAACCGCCACTTCGCTCCTCTTATTCCCAAGTCATCGAAGGGTACAGTTCATGATATTAAAGACTTCTTCTCTTCGGGGTCGATTTCGTTATATAATTCCAGGGATCTCAGGAGGTGAAGATGGAGAAGAGTGAAGAGAACCTGTCATAAGAATTCAGGGGTCTGCATTAGTTGAAGGGTTCAATTTCTTTAGTATATCCGTTGTCAAATGTATGCACGTAACACCTCACTTACGTTTAGTTTAAGTGAAAGAATCAGACCAAGTATAAATTGAATAGATATCCCTTCAAAGTTCAAGAGGGATACAGTATTATCAGTCCTTGCTCTTGAACTACAGTATTAGTATACATCTCCGAACCGAGTGAATACCCAACGTCTAATCTTCAAATTATCGACTTTCCCAAAACATATATCAACGGTCAGTCAATCCACTTGTTGTCATTCTTAATTTCGTTAGTTATAAACTGTTGAGGGTAACTTTAACTGCGAATGGTGTGAGTGGACATGGGATTGTTTCCTCTCTAGGCGGTTTATCGATTGATTGGGCTGAGCTGGCGGTGATCTGGTGGGAAATTGGAAATATTTTGCTATTTTGTTGATACTGATAACCAAAATTATTTAAAGAGATATTTCTTTATTATCTACTCTCCCCCTTTTATTATCTTTAAGGAAACAACAATTTTTAATTCACTCGTGTAACTAATAATTTCGAACAATACTAACACCAATCTTTGTCTTCAGTCTTGTCAAAATTCTTGACTGTTCATACACTCTATTACCTATTATATCTTCATTTCAAAACCTCAAAAGCATACCGCCCTCTGCAATCATGTCTACTCGCCCTCAAAATATCGGCATTAAGGCCATTGAAATTTACTTTCCAAGTCAGGTATATCATCACATTCAATTTCTTCCTGCAGAAGTCCGTTTGTTCAGGCTTAATGCTAACTTGTGTGCCGGCCAGTGTGTTGCTCAAGAAGAACTCGAGAAATTCGATGGCGTTAGTGCAGGAAAATATACAATTGGTCTTGGTCAAACTCAGATGAGCTTCTGTGATGATAGAGAAGGTAAGGATTCTCATATTTGCGACACCTGCAAGGACTTTTACTTATTCGTGGCATCTGGCAGATATTTACTCTTTTGCCTTGACCGTTACCTCCCGCCTCCTCAGCAAGTACAACATTGATACAAACACCATTGGACGTCTTGAAGTTGGTACAGAGACTCTTCTCGACAAATCGAAATCCGTAAAATCGGTTCTTATGCAATTGTTTGGAGAAAACACGAATATTGAGGGAGTCGATACTGTTAACGCATGCTACGGTGGTACCAACGCTGTTTTCAACGCTGTCAACTGGGTTGAATCCTCCGCATGGGATGGAAGAGACGCAATTGTGGTTGCTGGAGATATTGCTTTGTATGCAAAGGGTGCTGCGCGCCCAACTGGAGGTGCTGGAGCTGTTGCCATGTTGATTGGACCAAATGCTCCAGTTGTTGTCGAGCCAGGTCTCCGTGGTACATACATGCAACACGCCTACGATTTCTACAAGCCAGATCTTACCAGCGAGTACCCAATTGTCGATGGCCATTTCTCTCTCAAGTGTTATACCGAAGCAGTTGATGCCTGCTACAAGGCATATAACAAGCGGGAACAAACCCTTAAGCCTTTGGCCAATGGACATACCAATGGTACAGTATCGGAGGATTCATCAAAGTCACTTATTGATCGATTCGATTACATGTCCTTCCACGCCCCTACCTGCAAACTCGTTTCCAAGTCATACGCACGTATGCTTTACAACGACTACCTTTCCAACCCAACCGCATCGATTTTTGCTGATGTCCCAGCTGAGTTGAGAGATATGGATTATGCCAAGTCTTTGAGCGACAAAGTCGTTGAGAAGACTTTCATGGGATTGACCAAGAAACGTTTCAACGAACGTGTTCAAGCCAGTATTCAGGTACCAACCATGTGCGGAAACATGTACACTGCCAGTGTCTATGGTGGATTAGTCAGTTTGTTGAGCAACGTTGACAGCGCTACTCTCCAAGGAAAGAGAATTGGTGTTTTCAGTTACGGAAGTGGTTTGGCCGCAAGTTTGTTCTCATTGAAGATCAACGGATCCACCGAGACCATGGCAAAAGCTTTGAACTTACAGGAAAGGCTTGACGCCCGCCGAACTGTTGCCCCAGAAGTTTATGAAAAGGTAAGGATAAGATTTTCGAAATTTTCCTCTTATTCAATACTAACATATAATAGTTCTGCGCTCTCCGCAAACAAGCCCATCTCCAAAAGTCATATACCCCACAGGGTAGCCCAGACACCATCATTGCAGATACCTATTATCTCAAGAGCGTTGATGACATGTTCCGCCGAGAGTACGAGATCAAGGCATAAAAAACTCCAAATCAATTTTAATTTGACTGCGATTCTTTTTTCTCGCTACTTGCATAGACTGACTGGGACGGCTATTTTCTTTATTCGAATTGCATGTCCACGGGGATCCTATATAGAGCGCGCTGTTTGCTTACATTTACTCCTGCGTCTACGGAGGCAGTAGAGAGTACGGGTAGATACAGGTGCTGGGGAGTGGGAGGGGATGGGGATGGAATTTAAATGCATGGGACGATTTCAATGAAATAGGAATTTTAATACTTTTGATACAGATGAAAGATTTAGGGGGAACAAGAGCGAAAGCATTGTGTGGGTGGTGGTGGTAGTGGTGGTGGAATTTTCTCTGGTCTGGTCTTATACATAGATGTAGATAGACAGGCAACGATAGATATGAGTTGAGAATAATAATTTTGAATTTCTAGTTTAGAAATGGATATTCTTGAGCTCTCTTTTTCATATACGAGTATATAGTGATGTACCACTAGCTAATTGTGATGGTTTTGATATGTCCAATTGATCGGATCGGATCAATGATTAATATACTCGAGTACTCGGATGCTTTTTTAATTTATTTTCATCTCTATTTCCATTTCCATTTCCATCTCCATCTCCATCTCTATCTTTATTTGCTATCTATATCTCCATTTCCATCTCCACCCCTTTTCCATTTCCATTTCCATCTACACCTCTTTTTTCCATTTCCATCTCTACCTACCCCTTTTCCTTTCCCCTTTTCCTTCCAGAACCCTCACCGTCATCTTTTCCCTCGCCTTTCCCCTTTTCCTTCCAAACCCTTACTCTCACTCTTACCCTTACTCTCAAC